GGCATTCTGGCAGCTGGCTGGGCGGCGCGCGGGCTGTGGGCGCTCTCGGAAGTGGCGGCTCTTTTTGTTTTTTTTGAGATAGAGTCTCGCTCTGTTGCCCAGGCTGGAGTGCAGTGACACAATCTCGGCTCACTGCAACCTCCGCTTCCCGAGTTCAAGTGATTCTCCTGCCTCAGCCTCCTGAGTAGCTGGGATTACAGGCACCCACCACCATGCCTGGCTAATTTTTGTATTTTTAGTAGAGAAGGGTTTCACTATGTTGGCCAAGCTGGTCTTGAACTCCTGACCTCAAGTGATCTACTCGCTTTGGTCTCCCAAAGTGCTGGTTTACAGGCGTAAGCCACCACCCCAGGCCGTAGAGCAATGTTAAACATACCCAATGCTTAGAAAAATCTGTTCTTTTTGAGAGTGGTTGATGGGCCTGGTGCTGTGCCTCACGCCTGTAATCCCAGCACTCTGGGAGGCTGAGGTGGGCGGATCACCTCAGGCACTCCTGCCTGGGCCAAAAGAATGCGATTCCATTTCAGAAAAAAAAAAAAAAGGTGTGTTTGATGAAAGATGTGTTTGATATATTGAGGTTTCATTAAGCCATTACATTTATACCGGAAGCAAAGGGACTTGGAGCATCTAATATCTTCTCCAAAGTTATGGCTGTTATGAAGGTGACTAATTATTTCTTTTCATTTTATTAACAGTGGCTGCCTTTTCTCTATCCTCTTTCCTTTATTCATTATCAGCGCCAATGAAGCAAAGACCCCTGGCAAAGCATAGTAAGTATTGGCCAGTGATGAAGTTTTGCTGTGTAAAGGATTGGGGCCGTAACACCAAAGTTATGTCAGTGAGGCTTTATTTTTTTTTCCAAAATTGATCCATTATATACATTCAAGTAGAAGGCTGTATGATCTGGCCACGTGAGTTTATTGGTAACAGTAGTAAAATATGTTTTAAAATGAGTTTTTAGCAATAATAAAGGTTTTATCACTTCAAAGAACAGCTCAATCGGTCTTTGATCAATTTTGGTTAAGTCTGTGGATACTTGTATCAGAGACTTAGGTTTTCTTTGGGTTTATGTATGCTCTTGCTATACTGCAGTGCTCACTGTTTATCTTAAGAGGAATATTTGACTTTCTTTTGAAACTCTTCTTCCTTCGGACATTGCTTGAAGTCTGTACCTAAAGTCAGCCATAGAAAAGTACTTCTCAGTTGAACTGTGATTCGGTGGAAAAAGAAAATTAAAAAAATAAAAAGAAAAGTACTTCTCAAATCAGAATTAATGCTATTTCCTGTAAGAGCCACAATACTTTAGTGCTAATAACTGCATTACATTCATGGCAGCAGCAGGGCCCAGTGCATTCTTTTTTGTTTTTTTGAGACAGTCTTGCTCTGTCACCTGGGCTGGAGTACAGTGGCACGATCTCAGCTCAGTGCAACCTCCACCTCCTAGGTTCAAGTGATTCTCCTGCCTCAGCCTCCCAGGTAGCTGGAATTACAGGCACATGCCACCATGCCCTGCTAATTTTTTTCTTAAGTGATCCATCTGCTTCAGCCTCCCAAAGTGCTGGGATTATAGCTGTAAGCCACCATACCTGGCTATAATGCATTTTTAGTTGCCTGTTCCATCCATGTATCTAATACCTGTATTTCCTTGATCAAATTTCATTTGTCTTATCTTTCCCTGTGTAGTTTTAATGTCAGGTAAGTTGTCAAATAACAGAAATAACTCTGAGTAACTAGGGAGCTAACAAGGTGGGTTTCTTGCCTTTTAGTCTCTTCCAGTTGCGCCTCTTCTCCTTGGTGGTCTTCTTAAGCAACAGACTCTTCCACAAGACAGTCTACCTGCAGTCTGCCCTGAGCAGCTCCACTTCTGCAGAGAAGTTCCCTTCACCGCATCCGTCTCCTGCCAAACTGAAGGCTGCTGCAGGCCACTGAGTTGCCTGCCATCCAAAGGGGATGGGCGGGATTGGAAGGAGGCTGTGGCAGCTCTTTCCTTGTTCACCTCCCCCTGCTAGGGAAGGCAGGACCCACTCTGCCAAGGGCCCTCTGCATATTCCCTTCTCTCTGAGGAATTGGAGTTTTTGTCTCTGGTACACGTAAGGCAGAATGTTTCCAACACTAGTGTGTGGATTTTTAACATCACCGTGAGTCTGAAAGGACCACAGGTTTTTCTGCAGCTATTTTCTAGCATTTGCCAGTCCTTGTGCCTGGACTGATTTGAATACTTTGTTTTTCTCCCTGTGCCATTTACCCTCCCACCTTTCCATCCTGCCTTCTACCACCCTTGGATGAATGGATTTTGTAATTCTAGCTGTTGTATTTTGTGGATTTGTTATTTTTGTTGTTTTTCTGTGAAGCACATACATTGGATATGGGAGGTAAAGGAGTGTCCCAGTTGCTCCTGGTCCCCCCTTTATAGCCGTTACTGTCTTGTTTCTTGTAACTCAGGTTAGGTTTTGGTCTCTCTTGCTCCACTGCAAAAAAAAAAAACAAAAAACAAAAAACAAAAAAAACTGAAGAGATGAGATAGGAGGAAAAACCTCACAGCCAGATCTGCTGGGTTTCGAGGAGTGATTTTCTTTCTTCCCCTTGAAGGGGAAAAAGCTATTTTCACTGGTACATTTAAAGTCCCCCAACTATGGGGAAGTACCAATTCTGGACAAGTGCCACTGCAACAACACTAAACCTGAACTTTTCAAATCTGTTGGGGGTGGGAGATGGCGGGCAGAAGTTTACTGTTGGCCACTGCCAGGTCTGTTTGATATTTCAAAGGAATATTGGGTGCTGCAAATAGGAACTGAAGGGGTAAACGTATCAAACCTGTGATTGGTTGATGTTTTCCTGTCATTTTAAGAGATTAAATGTGGGGGGGAAGATGTCAAAATACTTGTACAATTTTAAAATGTCACAATTAAACGTGAGCTGGTTTCCCACAAAATGTGTAATGGTTGAATTTGCAAATTATGACCTCGAGAAATGTATTCATGGAGTATAAGACTTTGTCTTGGAGAATTTAGTTATAGGTTTGAGAAATTAGCCCTGAAAAATGTTCCTTGAGAAAGGCTGGATTATATGATTATAATCACATTTATATTTGGTGGAAGACTCAGATTGTTACTTGTTCTAAAGTCTATATGTCGCTGGGTGTGGTGGCTCATGCCTATAATGCCAGCACTTTGGGAGGCCGAGGCAGGTGGATCACCTGAGGTCAGGAGTTCGAGACCAGCCTGGCCAACATGGTGAAACCCTGTCTCTACTAAAAATACAAAAAAACCTTAGCCGGGCATAGTGGTGCACACCTGTAATCCCAGCTACTGGGGAGGCTGAGGCAGGAGAATTGCTTGATCTCGGGAGGCAGAGGTTGCAGTGAGCCAAGATCGCGCCATTGCACTCTAGCTTGGGCAACAAGAGCAAAACTCCATCTTAAAAAGATAAATAAATAAAAGGTTAAAAAAAAATTGTTGGCCGGGCGCGGTGGCTCAAGCCTATAATCCCAGCACTTTGGGAGGCCGAGGCGGGTGGATCACGAGGTCAAGAGATCAAGACCATCCTGGTCAACATGGTGAAACCCCGTCTCTACTAAAAATACAAAACATTAGCTGGGCATGGTGGTGCGTACCTGTAGTTCCAGCTACTCAGGAGGCTGAGGCAGGAGAATTGCCTGAACCCAGGAGGTGGAGGTTGCAGTGAGCCGAGATTGCGCCATTGCACTCCAGCCTGGGTAACAAGAGTGAAACTCTGTAAAAAAAAAAAAAAAAAAAAAAAAATTGTTGCTGGGAGTTATAAACCAATTTTGAAGGTAAACACACATGCTCCTCTGTGTGTTTACCTCCATCATTGAGATTGGTCTGGTGAAGGTTATCTGTTCATCAGTAGTGGGGTGGAATAGACAGTTTAGCAGTCATCTCACATTTTATTAACATTCTGGGCTGGGTGAGGTGGCTCATGCCTGTAATCCCAGCACTTTGGGAAGCCATGGTGGGCAGATCATGAGGTCAGGAGATCGAGACCATCCTGGCTAACATGGTGAAACCCTGTCTCTACTAAGAATACAAAAAATTAGCCGGGCATGGTGGCACACACCTATAGTTCCAGCTACTCAGGAGGCTGAGGCAGGAGAATCGCTTGAACCCAGGAGGCAGAGGTTGCAGTGAGCCGAGATATGCCACTGCACTCCAGTCTGGGTGACAGAGCAAGACTGTCTCCAAACAAAACAAAATTCAAAACTGTATTCTGCCTAAGCTGTATAACCTAGAGGAGTTAAAAGGAAGCTGACTTCCTGTCAGTGTAATTTACACCTTTGTAACAATGAGAGCCATACACCAGTTCAAATTTTAGATGGACCTAAAATGAGTCTGCAGAACCCCTGAAGGATCAAGTGGGGGAACTATGACTTAATTACGTAACAAGTATTTGAGCACCAACTCTGTCAGGTACTCAGCAAGAGACTGGGGACTCAAGGGTGAACCAGAAAGATATGATTACTATCTACGACCTGACAGTCCAGTGAGAGAGACAAGCAAACGAACATGCAAAAATTTTAAGAATTAGGTAATCAGCTATTTTTCCATAGATCTCAAAGCTAGATAAAACACTGGAATTCAAATAACTCATCTTTGAGTAAGATGGGCAGGTTAGGCCATATGTTCAGCCTTTCCTTGTACTCATTCTGATTTCAAATGTAAATGTTCTGTAGTGCTTTGAGACCTACAGAAAAAAAAAGACCACTTAATCATTTAGGTAAGTTCCTCTATTCCTCTTCATGGGGAATCAATATCGGAATCATTTCAGCAGCTTTTCCAAAACACAACAACACCTGGCCCTACAGGAAATTTAAGTAATCATGGAAACAAAAAGTAATTTAAGATTTTTTTTTTTTTTTTTTGGAAGGAGTCTTGCTCTGTTGCCCAGGCTGGGGTGCAGTGGCATGATCACGGCTCACTGCAACCTCCGCCTCCCAGATTCAAAAAAATACTAAAATATTTTTTGTACTTTAGTACAGGGTTTCACCATGTTAGCCAGGATGGTCTCGATCTCCTGACCTTGTGATCCACCTGCCTTGGCCTCTCAAAGTGCTGGGATTACAGGCGTGAGCCCCCTTGACCGGCTGTAATTTAAGAAATTCTGATAACTTTAGAATTCTAATAATTCTAATAATTTTCACAGAGATTTCAGAAGCTACTGCATCCATAATGTAAGAAGAGATTATTGTGAAAAGAACAGAATAGGAACACTCTTGGAAATTAAGGCAGTTACAGAAATTTTTAAAAATGAGATGGCTTATAAAAGTGACCCTGGCCGGGTATGTCATGTTCATACCTGTAATCCCAGCACTTTGGGAGGCTGAGGTGGATAGATTGTGTGAGCTCAGGAGTTCAAGACCAGCGTGGGCAACATGGTGAAACCCCGTCTCTATAAAAATACAAAAATTAGCTGGGTGTGGTGGCTTGTGCCTGTGTTCCCCGCTACTCAATGGCTGAGGCAGGAGGATCATTTGAGCCCAGGAGGTTGAGGGTGCAGTGAGCTGAGATTGTGCCACTGTACTCCAGCCTGGTAGACGGAGTGAGACCTTGTCTCAAGAAAAAAAATAAAGGTGACATTGAAGAGGATAAATTAGTGAACTGCAAGATAATACTGAGGAAATCTTCCAGAACATATAGCAGAAAGATCAAGAAAAAGTTAAGAATGGT